ACAATGGATGGATGTATATGGATTGTGATAAGAGTTGTATGAGCCCACAATAAAATTATTTTTTTTAAAAAGTCTACCCCCTAGCCACAAGTAGCTATTTAGATGAAATTTAAAAACCAGTTCCTCATTCGCTCTAGGAACATTTCAAGTACTCATGGGCACACCTGGCTAAGAGGTCCTCTAGCAACCAGTACAGATATAAACTGTTCCCAGGATCACAGAATGTTCTTTTGGACAGCACTAGTCTCAAAACAAATGGCTAATTAACAAAGTGATTGTTGTTATACACAGCACAAAATTAAAAGAGTACCTATCTTTTTTTTGGCCAGGGACTAAAACATAAGCCAGTTTATGGGTACTAATGAGAAATTGGTTATTGGAGTTGCTGCACTCCGTATTTGTGAAAAACTCCTATAACATTAAAATCAGTTAAAAAAAATTTTTTTGCAACAGTGCCTCCCACTAAGTCAATTTTTCCCCCCACTAAGTCAATTTTTAACACAATCTTAGTACAAAGACTTTTAAACTGGACTTATACTGCCAGTTCCCCCTAGCCCCTTATCTGAGCAGTTATTAAATCAGGTTATCTTATTTTCATCATTACTGTTACAATTTCCTTCATGGTCTCCAAACCAAGAGAACATACGTGGACAGGGCAGAACTGTATTTCAAATTCTCTAGCCTCCTTCCTTTTCTCTACTCGTAACGTGAAACAGTTCACACACTCCATTTCAAGCGTCTAAAGCAGAGCTGAACCCTCCTGATAAACGGAGAACCCTGAAAGCCTAGTCCACCAGTGCACGGTAAAATCTAAAACGAAGGCCCCAGTGTTCAATCAAGATATTGTTATACAATGACATCTTTCCTCATTCCTTTTCAGTTTCTGTTTTTGTATTTTTTGCCTTAAAATGTAACCATTTTATTATGGTTTGCGGTATTGACAGCAGGAAATGTCTAATGTTTTCTTGGGAGGAAGGCTCATGGAGACAGTCTGAGCTGATATAGGAAGGGGTACCCAAAAAACACTATCCCCCCTCACATCAAAAATCAAAGGAGCATCTGTTTTTTGGGAGGCACCTCCTTGTATTTATCCATATACCTGGCACATCAGTGGACACAGCTCTTCAAAAGGCCAGGACCAGCTGAGACAGTTGGCTAGAGGCATTTGAGAAATTGAAACTAACATGTCATAAAAGGTCAGTAACAACAGGACCTCCTAAAGAACCCAGAACTAATCTACTCAGATGAATTAGCTGGTGCCATATACCTATGAAAGTGATTGCAAATACACTTTATTCGCACTGAGTCTCACCGATCTCTCCTTCATGCCCAGGCTTAGGAATGCTGATGGATGTCTTGGTCTCCAGCTCTAGTTTCCTCTTGGTGTCCCCTCGCTTTCCCACTATGTGCCTACGATAAAAAGAAATGTATGTAAACGCAAGGGGAATCATTTAACATGGGCCCTGTCAGCTTTCAATCATACCCGGTCAAAGATACTCCCTTACAAAAGCTGTGCTTCAGTAAAAGGTCAGTATCTGTAGACTCCTAGAAGAAAGCTGTGAGGACAGTGCAGGATGCAACAGGTTTTTTCACTGGGATACTGTGAGCCAGAACGGAGCCCAGGGCACAACAACAGAGGAAAGTGGGCATAAACACAAAGCCAAGGAAAGAGCAGTGTGATTTAAGGCTGTAAAAATGCACGGCCCTCAAAGTCATGTGCAAGATTTGGGACATTGTTCTAGGAGAAATGGAAAACCACTGACAGATTTTAAACAGTTATAGTAAAAGAACCAGTTGCGCCTTTTAAAAAGATCTCTCTACTACCCGTGATGGGAAGAAATGATTGGGGGAGGGCAAAAACCATTGGGCAGAGGCAGTGAGTGAGTTATCCGAAGTCATCCATAGATGGGGAAGGCAGCGGGGTGGCAGTAAAGAAAGAGATCAGCGGTGGATTCAAAAGGTACTTATGAGGCAAAATCGACAAGACTGGGTGATAGACATGCAATGACGACATTTAGCCTGTAACCAGTCCTTACCCATTCCAGGGGATAGAACCCTACACTATTTCATCATTAGTAATCAGCTCAATGAAAGTGGGAGAGAGAGAAGTCAACTTCTTGCTAGCTTTCCTGAAATTGGCTCCAGGTGAAGTGGCTGGGCCCTTACTCACTTGTAGAGCAGGCTGGGGGCCTTCACGGTACAGCGGAAACCTTGCTGGGTCTGCGCCACCACGTAGGCTTCACAGGGCTCTTCTGCACACTCCATGAGGCCTGCACAGAAACCAGACAGCCACCTCAGAAGCTGCTGCTCGGTGGACAATGGCCTACTCAGCGGCCAGCCATTCTCTGAGTTTGAAAGAAGCAAGATGCATACACACAACCACCCAACACTTCCTATTGCAGAATACTGTTCTGATAGACCTTCTGACCTGCTCTCATTAGGAAAAAAAATGAATGAAATTCACAGGATTACAAATTTAAATCTTTCAGTCTTGGAACTTGGGAAAAGTGGCATATGGATACCACTAGTTAACCATTCTCTCTCAAGAAGAGAAGACACAATGGAGAAAAAATTTTTCAAATTAGTTTTAAAAATTAATTTTCAATTAAGACACAATGAACACACCTAGTGGTTTTTAGTATTTTTAAATTTTTGTTAGCATTCTTACTGATCAGTCACATATCCCACAAATCAGTGGTTTGACTATATTAATGCTTTTAATATTAAAACTCAGTGAATGAGAAAATAACAATATGGAGAACTTATTCCACACTACAGTCACAAGAGAAACCACAAGAGAAAAAAAGAGTAAAATAAAGAAACTCAAGGCCCTAAGGATAAAGGACCAGAGAGCAGACTAACTCCCCAGCTTTGGGGCCTGATGGAAGGGCTTCTAACTCAAGAAAAAGGTAGCAGAGAACCTTAACAACCTGGTGTGAACATTCACTGACAACATTTATAATCCGTATCAACTGTTTTGTTTCTTAAAATTGTCCCTGCACGGTATAGCAAAGTTAGTTGTGTATTTGGAACTGCCTGTATCTGAGTGTAAAGGACAAAGAAAAATAACAACACAACAACAGCTAACATTATCGAGCACTGGACTAAATACCTTACCTACATTAATTTCAATAATGTATGTTATAGGTACGTGTATTATTTCATAGCTTTTTAAGTGTAAAGGAAAAAAGCTCACCAGAGAATATTAATAGTTAACAACTAGAATGAGTCCCTATTTAAGTTTCTATAGTCACTATAGAGCAGCCCTGGGGGCATAGTGGTTATGCATTGGACTGTGATCTGCAAGATGAACAGTTCAAAACGACCAGAAGCTCCTAGGGAGAAAGAGAGGGCTTTCTGATCACGTAAAGAGTTCATCTCAGAAACTCACAGGGGCAGTTCTATCCTGTCCTACAGTCGCTGGTTGGCAGAGACTCAATGGCAGTGAAGGGACGGTCCCTCTGAGTCAGAATCAACTCCATGGTAGTAAGTGATGCAAAGATAAAACATAACTTGATTTGAAAACTGAACCAAGAGTGTCTCAAACTCGAACATATCAGTCCTCTCAGACATCAACACAAATGGGACTAAGAGGCCAAATATCTCAAATGCTGGGGCTGGCATGGAGATACACTGAAAGAAAACTGAAAATTGCTTCTGCAACATAGAGCGCATTGTGCTTTCAATCTGACCAAAGAGGAACCAGGATTACCTTCATAGAAGTCCTCATCATCTTCTTCAAGTAGATAGGTCTGTTCTTGAATGGGATTCTTCCTATAAATTCGTCCATCGATTTTTATAAGCTGTGGGCGCAGAACATCCATGGTACTTTCTCCAATTGGTCCAATGAAATCCTGAGAAATAAAGTATCACCTTGCTTTTCAGGTTAAACAGAAATAAAAACCCAAGGACTAGGCCACAATTAGTACCCTCCAGCCACTATAAGGTGCCCTAATGGCATTGTGGCGTATGCCATGGGTTGCGAACCAGCAAAGACAGAAGCTCACACCCACTAGTTGCTCCACAGGCAAAAGATGAGACTTTCTGCTCCAGTGGCAACGAGTGAGGACATATAGTTCACTGCCCAACAAACTATACATTACCCACTAAACTTAGAATCAAGAATTTAGGAAACAAGGATTCCTTAAGAACTAGCTGTGGTTAAGTTCAACCACATCTAGACGGTAGCTGTTCCAACCATCTAGCTTACAGTCTCAAACACAAGAGCTCAGCACAGCCTACGTAAAGCACTGTTTCATTCAGAACCCCATTTCCACTCAATTTTTTCTCTTTGAAGCTGCTTGAGGTCTGTTGCTGCTTTTCTACCACACTGTCCCATTCTAGGAAATGGAAGAAAAGTCATTTGTAAGTTATTCAGACCCAAAAAAAAGGCTGAGTAAAAGATACTGATATTTAATGATTTTCATTACTTTAACCCAAGGGGACTAAATTGCAACCTTCCGCATTTATCTATCAATTTTGCAGAGTGAAAAGGTGTTTCACCCCCTCTAACCAGCATGATAATTAAGAAAATTAGGCATAGTTTATAAACTTCTCTGTGGGGGAAGAGGGAGGCCAGTAAGTAACTTTAGAGGTACTAGAGAAACACAAAGAAAATGTGGTGGGATAGTGGGGCTGTGATCCCAAGGTCAGCATCTCAAAACTACCAGCCCCTCCAAGGGAAAAGAGATGGGGCATTCCTATGTCTGTAAATAGTTATAGTCTAGGAAAACCACTCCGTAACAGTGAGTGAGAGACTCGGCTCCTGAGCGTTACCAACGGTTAACTTGCTAGACTACTAACACAAAGGTTGGTAGTTCAAGTCAACCTTGCCGCACCTCTAAAGAAAGGCCTGATGATCTATTTTTAAATAATATGCTTCTGAAAAATCCTATGGTGCACAGATCTCCTCTCACTCATGGGGTCTCCATGAATTCGAATCGAGGCCAGAGTAAAGTAGAGAATAAAAGATAAAAATTTAACAATCAGATACAGGTGCCTGTCAAAGCAATTAAAATATGGCTTTACCAGTTATTCAGACCAATACATTTCTAAAGGGAAGAATACAATTTCTATCGCTCACTGCCCAACAACGTGTACATGACTCACTAAACCAGCCAAGCTTAGAACCAAGAACCAAGGAAACATGGGTTCCTAAGGGCAGCTCTGGTTAGTTCAACCAGTTTTCCTGCCACATAAGCTAGCAGTCTTCAAGCCGCCAACACAAGAGTCCCCTCACCCTCCAAAAGATCAGCCTTTCATACATGACTGCTCGGTCCAAACCTCATCCATTAATTCGCTTTAACTAGTCGTTGGCCTATTTACAAAACCGGGAAGAGGTTACATGTTGTGATACATCAAAGTACCAAAGGCAAGTAGTCTTGCATGGAGGTAAACTACGGATCAAACCTGGAGTCAACTACGACTGCTAAAGACTGACAGTCTCTGAAACCCTAGGGACGGTTCTACGAGTCGGAGTTTGTTTTCCGTGAGTTTTTCCGCGAACAGCAAACTCATCCTGTATCCTTCCTGTCTGGCACTGGGCGAGCAACCCCTTCAAAAGAAATGGAAGGGAGAGAAAGGCAGAATACCAAAGGGGACGCTGAAGCCGTGAATTCTAAAAGCTAGCATAAAGATACGTCAACCCAAATGAAAACCCGGAAAGGGACTGCACTGCGCCAGGAAAGCGACGGCAGGACCAGCGGAAGCAGCACCGGGAAGTGATCCGGTCAGGCGATCCGGAAGTGATCCGATTCTTCCACCAGGCCACGCCCACCGCACGGGGTGCGCGCGCTCCCGTCGCTCTCCTGCGAGCGTGGCCGCTCCGGTTGGCCTAGGGGGCGGGGCTGTGAGGGAAGGTGCCAAACACTAAGGTGAGTGGGCGGGTGCGCCCCGACCCTCCAGAACTGGTTAGGAAGGATGTTGGTTCCGGGGATCCTACCTGCTAGGACTAGGAAGAGAGGGGCGGGAGGAGGAGAAACGCGTCTGCCGCAGCGGAAGTGTGAGGGATGTTCCTCGGGCCGCGTCGGGTGAGTGCGCATGCGCCCGAGGGAAGGCGCCTGCGCAGTGGGAGGGTGCCCATGGCTGGGCGACGCGCGTTGCTCGGTGTTACGTTGTGAGCCGCGGGTGTCCTGACCCCACCTCTCAGCTCTTTCCACTTCCCCCAAACCGAATTACCTGCAGCATCTACTGGATTTTATTTGGGTTATAATACAGCTGCTTTAATGTGATGACAATTTGTTGGTGGTGAAATTTAATCATCATTATTGGCCTTGGTACCAGAGTAGAAACTTACTTCGTGCTTTTTTTTTTTTTCCTTAATAAAAAGATTTTTTGAAGAAAGGACTTTTTAAAAGAAATGGGGCCTACAACTCATAAAGACCCTATAGTACAGAGTAGAACTGCCCTTGTGGGTTTCGGAGACTAACTGTGAGGGAGTAGAAAACCGCATCTTTTGCCTGTGGAACGGCTGGTGCATTGGAACTGCTGACCTTTTCATTAGCAGCCCAAGGCGTAGCCTCCCTAGACCACCAGGGTCTCTATGAGTTGTAATCCACTCTGTGACAAGGAGGTGGGCCTGTATCTGCTGAAAAGGAAAGATCACTTCTGTCTTAAAAGAAATATTTCATCATCTTACAACTTGTGGACACACTCATGCCGTGTGCCCCAGATGAGTATCTCAGCTGCCAGTGGTGCCAGCTTCCCTGATAGACCAACTCCAAGTTAACTTGGTCAGTATTTATGCATTCGTGAAAAGGTTACTGAACACCTACTGTGAGCCTGGCAGCCTAGTGGGAGAATTGTGAGGTGAAGCCAGCCCCCTGGTTTCTTACTCATTGTGACCTTATACACAATAGGGAACAATGCCCAGGCTTGCCCCGTCCTCACAGTTGTTAACTTGAGTTTGAGCCTGTATCCATCGACTCATCAATTCTCTAGGTGCTCCTCTTTTTTTTTTTTTTTAATCATTTTGTTAGGGGCTCATACAACTCATCACAATCCATACATCAATTGTGTAAAGCACATTTGTATATTCATTGCCCTCTTCATTCTCAAAACATTTGCTCTCCACTTAAGCCCCTGGCATCAGCTCCTCATTTTTTCCCCTCCCTCCCCACTATCCCCTCCCTCATTAACCTTGATAATTTATAAATTATTATTTTGTCATACCTTACACTGTCCGACGTCTCCCTTCACCCACTTTTCTGTTGTC